TGGGGCCCTATGGGGCCCCTGGGCTCGGAGGCCTTTTAGGTCCCCTGTTTCTTGTAGGCAAGATTCCAACTTCCATGACCTTCCTTGAATCCCAAAGGGCAGATTCAAACAGCTGCTAATCAAGAGAGGTGTACATGCTAAGTCATTCAGTCATGTCTGATTCTTTGCCACCCCATGGACTGTAGCCTGCCAGGTTCCTCTGCCCATGGGATTCTCTGGGCAAGAATACTGGAGTCAGTAACCATTTCCATCTCCAGGGGACCTTCCTGACCCAGGGATAGAACCTATGTCTCTTGTGCCACCTACATTGGCCACCTGATGTGAAGAGCCAACTCACTGGAAAAGACCCTGATGCTGGGAAAGATTGAGGGCAGGAAAAGAAGGCGATGAGGATGAGATGGCTGGATGGCATCATCAACTCAATGGACATGAGTCTGAGCAAACTCTGAGATGGTGAAGGACTAAGCAGCCTGGCGTGCTGCAGTCTTGGCGTTGCAAAGAGTCACAACTTAGCAACTGAACCACAACATTGGCACTCGGGTTCTTTACCACTAGTGCCACGTAGGAAGCCCAAAAGGAGAGGAGCAGCCAAGAAATCACTTGAGGCAAGATTAAGGGGACCAGAGAAGCTCATCAAGATTAGGAGACCCACCACCTGAGACCCTGCACACACCCTGATCTTGTCAGCAACCTCCCCCTAAACTCCTCACCAAACTCTCCTGGGTTAGGACACATCATTTTCCAGAGCAAGAACCTGCTGTGTCTCTCTTTACCTGGCAAAGTGATAAAGCTATTCTTTTCCACTCTGTCCAAAATTCTGAGGTTTGATTTGGCCCCAGTGTACAGGGGGGCTGAGCTTTCAGCATCAAGGGGAAGGATTGTAGTATTTCTAGTTGAGGTTGCCAGAATAAGTTAAATTTGAATTTCAGATAAACAATAAACTGTGTTTAGTATATAGGCTTTCCTGGTGGCTCAACAGTAAAAATCTGCCTGCACTGCAGCAGACTCAGGAGTCATGGGTTTAATCCCTGGGTTGGAAAGATCCCTGGAGGAGGGTATGGCAACCCACTTCAGTATTCTTGCCATGAACATCCCTTGGACAGTGGAACCTGGTGGGCTACAGTCCTCAGGGTCACAATTTGTTTAGTATATGTGTATGCCCGGTGCAATACTACTGACAAGTATTCATTGTTTATCTGAAATTCAGATTTAATGAGCATGCTATATTTAACCTCAAAACCCTAATCCTACATGCTAGATGCAAGGCCTGGGGTCAAGTCTTTAAACAAAAGGAAACTTCCTGGATGGCTCAGAGAAGCCAGATGATCTGAGGTCACTATGAACATGATGATGGTAGAGGTAAGCATCCTTATGTTTACAGTTAAGATGAGAGAATTCAATAACAGCTATGAAAGCTCACAACTCAGGTTGGAACTTGAATCCAGTCAAAATTCAGATTTGGGACTTGAACCCACTGTCTTTTTATTAAAATCACACACCTGGTATAAGGACTTACTGAAGCTCAGCCTCTTTATGTCTCCACGCAGAAGGAATTCAACAAGAGGCAGAGTGATAGGTAAGAAGTGGGTTTATCTAGAGAGAGACATTCCAGAGACAGAATGCAGTCTGTCTCAAAAGGCAAGAGTGACCCTGGGAGAAACACACTTTACAGAAGAGCGTGGGCCACTCTCAGAAGGTGGGAGACCCCAAAATATGCAGTAGTTAGTTTTTATGGCTGGCTTCCCAGGTGGTTCAGTGGTAAAAAAATCTGCCTGCCAATGCAGGTGGATGTGGTTTGATTCCTGGGTCAGGAAGATCCCTGGAGGAGGGCACAGCAACCCACTCCAGGATTCTTGCCTGGAGAATCCCATGGACAGAGGAGCCTGGTGGGCTACAGCCCATGAGATCGCACAGAGTCGGACATAACTTAATCACTGAGCACGGCTTCCCTCATAGCTCAGTTGGTAAAGAATCTGCCTGCAATTCAGGAGACCCGGGTTTGATCCCTGGGTAGGGAAGATCCCCTGGAGAAGGAAATGGCAACCCATTCCAGTATTCTTACCTGGAAAATCCCATGGACAGAGGAGCCTGGCGGGCTACAGTCCATGGGGTCGCAAGAGTCAGCTACGACTTAACGACTAAACCACCACGGTATCATTTCATACGCTGATGAGTGAGAGGATTATTCCAATTGTTTGGGGGAAGGGGCAGGGATTTCCAGGAATTGAGCCACTACCTAGGTCAGGAAGATCCTCTACAGAAGGGAATGGCTACCCACTCCAGTATTCTTGCCTGGAGAATTCCATGGACAGAGGAGCCTGGCGGGCTATGTGCATGGGGTCACAAAAAGTCTGACACGACTGAGCAATCAACACTGTTCCATCTGTCATGGCACCTGTGGGTGTGTCACTTAGCTAATGAATTACAATGAACAAATAATGAGGCTCAAGCTCCACTGGAAGTTGAATCTTCCACCATCTTTGATATAATCAGTTCTGACCAGATCTTGGTATATCACCAACAGCAATCATTCTTTTAAAGGTTGTGTGACCTTCCCTGGTGTTTCAGTGGTTAAGACTTCACCTTCCAATTCAGGGGTTGAGGGTTCAATCTCTGATGGGGGCACTAAGATCCCACATGCCTTGGGGCCAGGCAACCAAACATAAAACAAACAGAAGCAATATTTTAACAAACTCAATGAAGACTTTTAAAAACTTAAAAAATAAAGGTTATGCCCTGTCCCCTTCCCCCATTTCGATTTTATATGCATATATAATAATACACATAGTCATACAGTTATATGAATATATTACATAAGTATTGATATATTAGGCTTTGCAACTAACTGACAAATTGCTTTATGACTGTACCCAATCAAAGGAAAACTAAAGTGCAAGGCAGTGAGTTAATGTGACTGAGTTTTGTCACTTGCTCTGGCATGAGTAGCTTGTTGGATGTGTATGTTAACTGATAAATTTATACATCTTTCGGTTTACATTATTTTGCCCATCAGAGATTATGGTTTTTGGAGGAGAGAAACAAGAGAGCCAATCTCTGAAGTCAATATATTCTTGAGCCTGTGATGTATCTAAGTTTATTTCTTATTTGTCACAATCACTTTCTAAGTAACCAAGTAACACAAAATACTGTGGGCCCAAGAGAGGACAAAAGCACAGAGCATCCCTGAGTCACTATTTATTTTGTTTGAGTGGTGATAAAAACCAGGTCCTTCTCAATCATAGCAACACCGACCTGGGCGTTCTGAGACATATGCTGTGTTCCGTTTGTGTAATTCCTAGAGGCAGTGTTTTCCAAAGCAGAGGAAAGATGGCAAAGAGCTCCTCTACCCAGCTGAGCATTACAGCCCAATTAATGTCTACAATCGGTAGGAGAAAAGGAATATCACAACATTCTAGTTTTCCCCCCAGCCTCTCGGTAAGACATTCTTAAAAACCAGCAAATGTCAGCGTGCAGTTTAGCCCTAATCACTGTTCTGCAACGGAGAAAAAAGGAAAGACCATTAAAAAAAAAAAAAAAATTCTGGACTAGCTGATGGAATATGAATGTGTGTGAAAGAAAGCTATTGGGAGGAAACCTCACACAGATAAAGAAATAGGTCTTAATTTACAACTCTGGCTGACAGTTTGTTCCAGACTGACTCAACTCTCCAGAATAACCCATCTCAGCACACCTAAGTGACTCATGCCAAAAGAGCCTTAAGAGGGCTGGGCAACTTGCAAGGGACTGTACGCAAGCCCAGATGATGCACATCTGGTCAAAAATTAGGAAGAGAAAGAAATCAACTTCTCAAATCCACAAACAGGTGTTTGGGGCTTCCCAGGAGACCAGCTTAGGAAGGGCAGCAAGGATGATTCTAAATCACTGGTTAGTTACCGAGCAAACATTATTGAGAATTAGGGAAGAATTGGTACAAGTCGGCATGAACCAAACAGGTGACAAGACTGGGCACTCTCTTGTCCACTTTCTCTTGATAACTGGATCATTTAAAAGACATTTAAATTATTTAGATGACTGCAGAGACATCTTTAACAACGCACCAAGCCACAGGCACAAGGTTGAAATCAATTCGACTCCAATGCTAAATCATAAGGTAGAAATTTACAAGAGAACAGATCCAGGGTGGGGTCGGTAGATATATACGCCTGCCAGAAACAATTATAGTGGGAAGCCAATGGCTATGCGGGGGACCTGGGTTCCATCCCTGGGTTGGGAAGATCCCCTGGAGAAGGGAAAGGTTACTCACTCCAGTATTCTGGCCTGGAGAATTCCATGGACTATATAGTCCATGGGGTGGCAAAGAGTCGGACACGACTGAGCGACTTTCACTTTCACAATGGCTATAACCTCGTCATTTAAGCAGCAGAAAAATTGCCCGATGCCCCAAATATACGACAATAACAAATGAAAATGAGAGGGCCTGTCCCCTGGGCAGGGTTGTCAAGAGAAAAGTGAAAGACCACAGGAGGAATACATGCCATTCTGGAAGCTTCCTGTGCAAAGACAAATCAGTATGTGGGGCCTCCAGTAGCCTCCCGTCGGAGGGGTGCGGGGGTGAGGGTGGAGGTGGGGAGCTGGCCACGTAGCCCAGATGAGGCTATATATGGGATTCGGATGTGCCCCACACTGGACACCGGCGGGGGAGACAGAGGGTGTCGCAAAGGCCTGTCTCCCCGGCGTCCAGACGTGACGACCCCCGGGAGTGACCGCAAAGTCGCTCCCCCTAGCCAAGGCACAGCCCCAGGGTGCCGAGGCTCGGCTTTCGGTCCCCGGGCAACACGTGGAGGGACTGGGCCCGCCCTCGGCCGCGCGGGGGCGCAGGGCGCAGGCGCGCTCCTTCCGGGCTGCGCAGAGGCGGCACGACTCCAGCCCGCCAGGGGCCGCTGTGGGGCAGCCGCGCCGGCCCGCGCTATCTGGGCCGCGGACTGTCGGTCCCTCTTGAGCACGGCCTTGCCGGTTTGGCGGGGTGAAAGGTTGCGAAGATGGCGACGGCCTTGAGCGAGGAGGAGCTGGACAATGAAGACTATTACTCGTTGCTGAACGTCCGCAGGGAGGTGAGGCCTGCGGCGTGCCGCCGTCCGGACCGAGGCCGGACCGGGTCGTTCAGGCGGGGCCGGGCTGGTAGCGACCGCCCCGTTCCCTCCTCGGGCGGCCGGACCTTGGCGGGGAGGCCGCGTGACCCCGACTGACGTGCGCGATCGCTGGCCGGCCAGACTGTCCCCACTGCCCTGACCCTTGCGCCGGGGGTATTCTAGCTAGCCTCTCCCCCAGCTCTCCGCGGCCGGTGCGCCGCGTGCACTGTGTCCCGGCAAAGCCAGAGGGCCCCGCGCCCCCAGGGGGGAACAGGGTCCCGAGGTGAAGGTGGCGTGGGGAATCCAAGTCCTCCAGGACCAGTTGCCACTCTCGGCTCACACACCGGCCTAGGCCGAGGGGCTGTGTCATCGTCCCGCAGCCGGCAGGATGGGAAACGGAGTCCCAGGCGCCAAGGTCAAAGCCACCAGGGAACCTCCCCATGGGTCTGTCCGGTCCCCGAGTCTTCCACGGGGACATCCCGCCTCTGAAGTGAGTCGAGGCTTAGAAGCACGTGTCTTGTGTCCTCCTCCTCTCTGAGCGCCTTCCAGAAATTGAAGGAAGAGTCTCTTGGACAAGTAGCCTCCATTCGGAGGCCCAGGTTAGGAATAAACTCAGGAATAAGCGAGGAGGAATTGACGCCACCACTTGGGTCCGTGTTTCCAGACGCCAAGTGCTTATACCTCGTTTCCTCACATTTGAAAGACAACACTAGAGAGCCTCACATGGTGTCTGGGACATAGTGGGGGCCCAATTAAATTTCCTTTCTTGTTGACAAGTACATTTGAGGTCAGCGTGAAGGGCAGAGAGGCTTCCAAGGTCAGGTCATGTTCATGAAGTGAACTCTTGCTCTCTAAACTGCTAGGTAGGGTCTTCTCTGCCCTGCCAGGGGATCTCTGATTCTGGCTCAGATTTTCCAGTGATCAGAACTAGCCTCCTTTGGCTGTCCTTGGCAAAACTGATCAGGCTGTTTTGTCAGTGAGCTCAGGTCTGTGTGATCTTAATAATTGCTAATGTTCTGTGAGGGCTCACTTTGTGCAGGGCCACAGTGCTGAATGGACACTTTGCTTTATGTTATTGCACTTAATCACCCTATTAGCCTTTAAGGTGGGTATTCAGAGAGTTCTTGATTGATATCTGAGGAAACTGAAGCATAGAGAGATTAAGTAACTTGCCCAAAGCCACACCACTAGAAATTGCAAGAGCCCTGGGCAGCCTGACTCTGAAGCCCCAGTTCTTGACCTCTATGCTGTACTGCCTAGCTACCAGTCTTCAGACTCCAAAGCTGCTTGGCTCTTTGGGCACTCCACATAGGAATTCCGTAAATGTGTTAGTCACTATTGACTTTGGAAACGTCCAGTGGAATATTTTGGTGAATTTCAGATCTTGTTAGGCTGCATTAGGGCCACCTAGAGATTCTTGTAACGAGTCATTGGTGAGGCTTCTTTGGCCTCTATTTCTTTCCCTTTGAATGGAGCTGTCGGGCTAGTTATTTTTTTTCTCCAGTTCTTAGAAGTAAAGTGGTAAATGAAACCAGCTTTTCTGAAATCAGCCTTTCTTACCACTCATTTATAGTTCGCCTGGGGAACGATACTAATACCTGTTCACTGAATCTTGCATACCAAGTCGCTTCAGTCATGCCGACTCTTTGTAACTCTATGGGCCATAGCCTACCAGGCTCCTCTGTCCATGGGATTCTCCAGGCAAGAATACTGGAGTAGGTTGCCATACCCTCCTCCAGGGACTCTTCCCCACCCAGAGATCAAACCCACCTCTCCTACATCTGCATTGGCAGGTGGGTTCTTTACTACTAGTGCCACCTGGAAAGCCCCTGAATCTTAGGCGGCTGTAAATGATCAAAAAGGTCTAGAGTAGTAAGCTTGGCTGGAGTCCTAGGTAAACATTTGTCAGAGGTATACCCTGAAACTGCCAGGGTGTTTGGACTTGTCATTGCTGTTAGACTGATGGGTGAAAGTCAAAGAAATATTTCTTTAAAAATTTCACTTCTCCGGAACAGTGAAGGCACCTCCCACATTTATGGCTGTAGGTGAAAGTCCTGTGAAACAAGTCCTCTGGCTTAAGTCATTTTGTGTTGCTGCTGTACACAAACTCAGTCTAGAACACCATCCTCTGTGGTGTGATTTTCCAGGGTTCCATTAGAAAAGAAGCTCAGAAAGTGATCTCTGGACTTGATTTTAACAAAGATTTTTTTTGTGAAATTAGAAATCAACCTGAAGTTGAAAGACCATGATTTAGCTGAAGAATTAGAGAAGAAAATAGAAGTAATCTTTGTCTTACATATGTGGTCAAAAGAAGGTAATAATCCCATTGATGTTTCAGGTCTACAGCTTGATGGCATTGAAGTGTAACTAGGAGGCAAGGTCCTCTTCCCACCAGCACCCCAGAGCATTTTCAGAAGTCTCATGTTCAGGAGATTCGTGACTTTCTGCCAACGATCTCAGATGGAAGGAAGCTGAACCAAAACCAGGGAACTCTAATTAATAAAGTTTTAAATTTGCAAGCATGATACATGATGATAACAAATGGAGTAATACAGAAATGTCAGAAATCTGCCTAAGAATCTCCCTTGCCATGTTTTAAACTTTAAAATGTTCCCTCTTTAAATTGTATCCCAGAGAGTGAAGCAGGCAGCTAGATAAAGCTTCAGTGATCTTTAATAATTCCCTTTCTCTAGTGTGTGCTGAGTGGAGCAGTTATCTGCCTGCCACACATTGAGGGAAGGGAATAATTTATCATTAACTGGGCATATTTAAACTGGATTGATGCACCATCAGGGGCCTAAACTCTAACTGATCTGAGATTTCTGAAGTGATTTTCCAAAATTTATTTGGAAAAAGGATTCCTGAAGAATTAATGAAATTTTCTTGATGCACATGCTTTTTATCGACATTATAATTAATTTATTCCTAAATAATTGAGTTTAACTCCTACTTTAACCAGTGTTGTAGTTGAAAGAGTTTCATTTTTATGCATGTCAGTCAGCAATGTTTATAACCTGTTGTAAGATCTCTTGTCCCAATCAATTTTAGACTTAAAGGAGCCAATCTCCTTTTCAAGTTGTAGATACTTTTGTAAAAAAAACCAGTCATTAAATAAAAAATAAACTTAAGTAGAAATTTCTTTTCTTGTAGCTCACATATGGAGGTCAGTGTTCTGGGATCTTCATCCTTCCAAAATAGCCATGAAACTAGAAGTGCAAAATCATCACCTAAATAGAAAGTTTTCTCAAAGTCCCTGCATTTTCATTCCTTCCCTGGTATAGGGCATCTCATCCTCTCCACAGTTTTTGGTTGTCTGGTTTACTCTGGCTGCAGGTTACAGTCACAGAGTTGGGCCTGAAAAATCTGAGTTTGGACTGCAGACAAAAAGGCTAGAGCAAAAGAGGAAGGTCTACTCGTCACAGCCAGGATTGACCTTGGGGGACAGTCACCCAACCCCCAACCAGGGTGGCAGGGCCATCCGCAGAAACTGAATGTAAAAGGGTGGTAAGCCAGGGCACACATAGGTGCCTAAAGCCCTGAGGTACTTGTCTAACCTGATGGGCAGGTGATTAGTCTTAATAACAGATGTGAAGGTGGGTCTAGGAAGGTTTCCTTTAATGAGTTTTCCATTTGCTGCCTTAGGTTCAAAGTCTGAAAAAAAAAAACAACAAAGTCTGATAGTCACAACAGTGAACCGGCTTGTGCTGGGCAAGTAGTGTGAGCCTTGGTTGTCCAGAAACCTAACTTAGCCCAATGGTCACATTCCTAAGGCTGCCTGTCAGTGAAGAGGTGTGTGGTCCTTAAGAGCAGGGCTCTCAGGCCACTCAGGTCCCCCAGGTGACCTTGAACACATCATTCAACCTCAGAGTCTCCTTTGCTGATATGCAGCCAGAGCATCCTGTGTTTGAATCCCAGTTTTACCCCCAGGAGGTATGTGCCTCTAGGCAGCTAATAGTTGAACGTTTTTGCTCTCTGTTTTTTGGGGAGCTTTTCTTGAAATGTAGGTAACAGGTAAAAATGTATTACTATGAAGTACTCATTCTGATCCAGGATGTTGTATATTGGAGCTGTGAGGCTATATATAAAGTACCTGATGCATAAGTAGGTATTTGATTAATAATGTTTACTGTTGCTACTTCTTGGATTTTGATAAACATGAGGTTTTGCTTGTTTTAAAAAGACATACCTGTACATAGAAGACTTTGGTCTGTCTCATCCAGGCTCAGTTTACTATTGTAGTAATAAAAAAATGGTGCTAAGCAGAATTTAGGATTTTAAGCTAAGCATTAGGTTCTCAATTCCCAAAGCTTTCTTCTTCTGTTCAAATTACTGAATTTATTCTCTTCAGAAGACAGTTATCTGTGAACTCTTCCTGCAAGGTCATGCATTTGACTTGGGTGGCGGGAGGAGTGGTTCCCAGCAGCTGGGCTAAGCTTGGGAGTGTGGTGCAGAGCCATGGGGTGGTCTAAAGAGATGGCGTCTGGGTTAGAAGCAGAGTGGGACCCACAGATCAAGTTGTTGTGAGCGGTCATCTTTGAAGGAACCAGGCAGAGAGGGCAGGGCCTGGCAGAGGCAGAGGCTCTGCTCCAGCGACAGCATGACAGCATTGGCAGTCAGGAAGGTGACTCGTGGAGCTTTTAGGGGTCTTCCTGAGGGTGAGGAGGGGGGCATTAGGCTACCCCTCTAGTTCCAGTGTCACCTTATACTGTGATTAGCAAACACCATGAGGCTGAATTTTGAAATTGTTTTCTTTAATGAACCTTAAGCTAGTTACTACCTTTCTACTTTGGGCATTTCAAACAATTAGGTCTTGAAATTTTAATGTTCTAATTCTACATTATCGACCAAACTACCTCTTTTTTTTTTCTTTCATTTTCTTCTTAAAGGGAATTCAATTGTAAGCTTTTCTGTTTGCTGTGGGTTCAGTGAAACAATGGAGAAGAAACTATGGGACACACAGGCCACATGTTTTGCTTGGCTAC